TGGATTTAATGGTATAAATAAAATAACATCTTATTTTTTACTTTTTTGTCTAGCAAAAATCATATTATTAAAATCATTAAATATTGTGAATAATCGAAAAGATTATTTTAAAATATTAATTAGGTTGTTTAATTTAAAAAACGTATTATTCTACTGACACATAACAAAATATCAATGAATATCTTTAGATCCAACCATCACTTGGAATTGTACACATTAGAGATGTGGAAATTTAGGGAAAAGGTACGAACACAACACATCTTTGCACTTGATTGTGATTGCTTCTAATTCGGCGACCTAATTAATTCATGAGAGGACTGACCTGCAATGCTAGAGACAATGAATAATCATGGTCTCAAACACTAGCTAAACAATATTTATAAATTTCAACTTAACCATAAAATAAGAAGCGAAAAAATTAAAACAATTATACAGGAATCTAACCAAAACCATAATATAATTAAATTATAAGAAAAACTTAAAATTTAAAATATTATTATCATATAAAAACTTATAACACTATATTCTTCACTATTGAGACCAATCAGCTCTTTTTACCCATGTTTTCTTATCCCAACTATGATAAAAACCGTCTGATCTTACTGACCAAAAAACAAAATTTTGATTTTGATCATATCCAACATCTCGTGCATTGAACGTACAATGTAAATTGTTCCATACAGCCAAACATGCATGATTAGAGGAAAAGTTAACATTGATGAAAGATGTAGATCCTGAAGTTCCCACAAAGGATCCTGCTAAGCCACAATTATAATGCACTGATGATGATTCAGGCACTTCAGTTTGTATAGAAACAATACTTTCTGTTTCGTCTAAAGCTGAAGTATAATGGAGACAAAATAAAAATACAACAAAGAGTATAGCATGCCATGAGTTAGCCATTTTCAAAATTCAGAGTGATTAAAATTCTAGAGTTAGACTCAATATATAGATATAGCACTCCTCGTATTAGTCATCAATAATTGTTTCATGATATTATATAAAATACATTCAATTTCCTCTTAATTATCACAATAATCACGTCATTGGAAAATAATATTTTTTTTCCATCTTTAGTATAATGGATTCAACCAACTTAATTTTTATCTATATTTAGAAAATTTATCGCAGCAATTAAGCATTTCAAATTTCATTTCTTATGTGTTTTTAGAATTGCAATTACGCAAATCAAATCACTTTTATTTATTAATATACATTTTAATGATTTTCTTTTTTAAAATAAGCAAATCAAATCACTTTTAAAATAAATCAAATCAAATCAAATTTCATTTCTTATGTGTTTTTAGAAAATTTATCACCAATCAATTATTTAAAATTTCATTACATATTTTTTTTAGAAATTATAATTAAGTGAATTAAATCACTTTTATTAAACCAAATAATAATCTTGAAGACACAAATCTGACGAGTCATTTTTATTTGTCTTACTTTTTTTAAAATAAAAAACTAAATGCTAGTATTAAAATTAAATTATGTTTTTTTTTAAAGAAAAATTATTAATTTATAAATATCGAAAGAGAAATATCAGTAACTACTATATCCATTATATAACATAAAATTTTGCATTATTTTTGTTAAGAATATATTGCATATTTTACTATAAAACAAAATTATCAATTAATATACATTAATGTTGTAATATATATATATATATATATATATATATATATATATATATATATATATATATATATATATATATATATATATATATATATATATATATATATATATATATATATATATATATATATATATATATATTAGATTTTAATTTTATTCATAATAAAAAAAATATGATTGTGTAGGCCCAAAGGAGAAAACATATATTTTAAATTAACTCTATTTTTCAAAGCAAATCTACAATAATAAATATAAAATTTTTAAAATAAGGTTACTCTATTCTACAATAAAACAGATTTAGATTCTATTATTACTAAATGTGCGATTGAGAAAAAATTTAAAATAAGAGATGAGAGGAATAAACAATAACTATTAGACCAATTAAAAAGTTTTGATTAACCTTATTTATTAATGTATTTATTAATTTCTCTCTCTTATTAAAATACAATCTATCTTTCTTATTAATAATTTAATTTAATAGTTGTTGTTTGTTTCTCACATCTCTCATTTAAAATCACTCTCATTTAATATATTGATTGTTATTTTTTTAAAATCACAATAAGTATTAATTTTTATTTTTCAATTAATTTTGAAATTAAGCGAATATAATCACTTTTATTTTTTCAATACACATTCTAATTATTATTTTTTATTTTAGAAAATTTATTACAACAATCAATTATTTCAAATTTCATTACTTAATTTTTAATAGTAATTTTAATTAATTCAATTAAATCACTTTTACTAAACATATTAATAATTTTAGATACACGTACAAATCTGACCCATCATTTTTATTTTTCTTCTAATTAATTCTAATATTTTTATATTTATAATAAAAAACAAAATGTTAGTATTGAGTAAAATAAAATAAAATTAATTTTTTAAAACTATTAATTTATAAATATCAATGACAAATATATCTACTACAACCTTTCTCATAATGTTGTATTTTAAATTATTTTTTATAAGGATATATTGCATATTTTCACTATAAAATAAAATTATTAATTATTATTCATTGACTTGATAAAATATTTCTATATATGTATTCAGCTATGTAAATAAGATCATAAAATCACCTTTTTAAATTTAAAACGTATATTCTAAATAATAGAGTTCTCTTAAGCTAGTATACATAGAAGAAGAAATTATTAACAGACAATTATACTAATGGGAAATGAGATTGTTAGATGATCTTTTTATACGATATTTTTGATGATTAACGTTTCTGTTTATGAAGAACAGCTACAGTAAAATTTTCAATTCCTTAACCCTAAACCTAATTTCTGCGATTCTTTTTAAGATTTTCGTCAATTCAAAGCTGCTGGCTTCGATTCAGTGAAAATTAGGGGATTATCTTCGGCTTAAATTCATAGCTTTCGAGGCCTTGGTAATTTTTTGGTTTTTATTTGGATCGAGACAGTGGAGTTACCATGAGTTGGGAAAGGGTTTCCGGTAGAAAGGTTAGAAGCGGAAGTTTTTCAGTTTGGAAGAAGAACAAAGGAAAAGGAGCTTCTTCTGGTGAAATCACAACTTCATTTTTTGTCACTGAGTTTTCTAAAAACATGAATGCCAAAGATCTGTTTGAGGTCTTCAAGGTCTATGGAGTCATATCAGAAGTTTTTATTTCTGCTAAGAGAGATAAGCGAGGTAATAGATTCGGTTTCGCCAAATTTCGGAAAGTTCATGATCCAAGAATCCTGGCCTGTAACCTTGATAGCATTGTCATGGAAGGCAAAAAAAATCTACGTCAATATACCCATGTTTAGTAAAGAGAACAAAAGGCATCTTCCTGTTAGTGAGAAGAACAAAAAGCACCTTCCTGATTGTGAAAATTTGAGGAGTAACATCCAAACTGGTTGTACCAGGAACTTCTTGAAACCTAATATCCAGGTTAGGTCCTTTGCCAAAGTGGTAAGAGGAGATTACCCTAAGTTTATTGATAGGGCCAAGGTAGGAGGTCAATGCACAAAACTTAAGCTGGATGATGAATGGTCAAGGAGGTTGAATCGTATGAGAGTGGGTGAAGTCATGAAGGATGGAAATTTTCAACATTCAGAAGTTAATTTTTGAAGAAGGTTACTTTAACATTAATGTTACTCCATTGGGAGCTTCATTGTGTTTGCTGGAAGACACATAAGGAGGAGACTTAGAAGGTTTTATCAAGGAAGCTAGAGTATGGCTAGATATCTAGTTCAGAGACATCCGCAAGTGGCAAATGGAGGAAATTGACAGGGATAGGATGGTGTGGGTATATTGTTATGGTCTACCTTGTGTCGCCTGGAGTGAGAAAAATTTCATGCAGATTTCTTCCAGTCTGGGATCGTTTGTCAAATGTGATGAGAAGACGAGGAACAAAGAGAAATTGGACATAGCGAGATTTCTTATTAAAACAAGACTCAGGATTATTCTGAATTTCTTGGTTGACATTGAAGTGAACAATCACACCTTTTTAATTTCAATCACAGAAGACCTTTCGTGTGGAAGTGGAGACCCTTTGTTTGGTGAAGAAGATGAGGTGATAGATTCAGATGAATTTGACTCCTCAAACCCTTCAGACTCAGAGGGCGCGTGGGAGATACCTGAAGAGGAAGAAAGTGAAGATCTCAAATCCTTGTTCTCAGAGACAAAAGCCAGAGCTCCCAATACTGATGTCCAAAAGGCAGATGGTGACTTCTCAGTGTCAGACATTGTATCAGTTGTTGGGGATAGCTTAGGGTCTACTGTGCAAGGTAATGGGTTAAGAAGGAAAAATCATAAGGTTTCAGCCGCTCTGTTTAGTTCAGAAGGAACTGAACCATATAACTTTCTGGCTGACCTAGAACTTAATCAGTCCAAAGTAGTTATCAAGGTACCCAGTCTTGATGGGGAATTGGTGGTAGACCTGGGCCTGCCTCATCCAATTAGTGGGCCTTCAGGAGGAGTTATTGGGCCTGCTGTTAGAGGTAAAGCTAAAAAGAAAAAACATTTTCATGAGGTTTATAATTGCATTAAAATACCATACACCCCCTCTTATTTTCCCACTCTTCTTCTCACGGATCCCAAGGAGAACCTTAGACCTGTGTCAAAAGGGAAAACTAGGGAGGATAGTATGAAGAAAAGTTGTCTAAAGAAACTTCTGAATCTAGTTCAACTCTATTATGTTGCGAATCGATCACCGACACTGACGTTAAGAGGGGTAACTCGAGATGCAGAAGGGCCATTGTTGATGTTCCATCTAAATTGGGTGATTTTCTTAAAGTTCTGGGTATTCAGGGCAAAGATGAAGAAGTTATTGGGCGAACTCAGAGGATTTTGGATAACGCAGATAAGGATGCTAGTCTAGGCAAGAAGGATGTAGCTACAATTGATCCATGAATTTAATTTCTTTCAATGTTAGAGGTTGTTGTAGTTCCATCAAGAGAAGGAGATTAACTCAAATTATTCAGAGAGGAAATGCCGATATTTTCCTTATTCAGGAAACCAAGGTTATCAAGATGGAGGATGGTATAGTTTTCAGCATGTGGAGGAATTTTGATTTGGATTGGTCAGCTCAGAACTCTGGTGGAATTCTAACCATGTGGAATACTGTCAGAATCTCTGCTTGTTTTAGTTTTAATGGGAAAGGATTCTTAGGTCTAAACTTTGTTTGGAATAACCATAGCTTGATGGTGATCAACGTTTACGCTCCTTGTGGATCAGCTGATAAGAGGAAGCTTTGGAGAGATTTGATTAAAATTAAGAACAATTACCCTGATGTTGGTTGGATCGTGGGATGGGATTTTAATGCGGTGAAAAATAGGGAGGAAAGGAAGGGCCTAAGTGGTTATAACAGCAGGGATATAAAGGAGTTATGTGATTTCATTGAGGAAATGAATTTGGTGGATCTACCGGTGTTTGGAAGCTGTTTCACTTGGTTCAACTCTAACGGTAAGAGCAAAAGTAGGCTGGATAGAGTTTTGGTTGATGATAGGGTTATATCTTTGTTTACTCTGAAGAATCAAGTGGCGGGGGATAGAGACATATCGGATCATCGACCGGTGTGGTTGAAGTCCAATTTCATCAATTGGGGACCAAAACCTTTTAGGACTTTCAACTGTTGGTTCTACCACAAGGATTTCATCACGTTCGTTATGAAATTGTGGCGCTCTTACCGATTTACAGGTTCTTTCTGCAGCATCCTTTCTAAGAAATTTCAAGCTCTTAAATCAGACCTTAGGATATGGAATCTCAAAGTGTTTGGTTGGCTGGATTTAAACATAGAGGATAATATCTCTAAGTTCAACAAGCTGGAACTGGAATTAGATGAGGAGTCTAATCTGCAATCTACTGATCTGGACAGAGAGAAACTGCGATACCAGGAGGAAATATGGAAGAATATACGGATCAAAGAAATCATGATATCCTAAAAATCCCGGGTTAGTTGGCTCCAAAATGGGGATCTTAATACCAAATTTTTTCATGACTCCCTTAAATCCATGAATAGGTTGAATCATCTCTCAGCTGTTAGAGTGGGAGGCAGGACTGTTGAAGAACCTGAGAATATTAAGGATGAAGCGATGAAGTTCTTTAAGGACAAATACACGCAATCAAACTCGACAAAATTCATAAGTGATTTGGTTTTGGCTGCCTGTCTTGATGAGGATGACAAACTGTTTTTGGAAACAGATTTTAGCACCTCTGATGTTAGAAAGGATGTTTTCAGTTGTGAGGGTAACAAATGCCCTGGTGTCGATGGATTTAATTTTAAATTCATAAAATTATGTTGGGAAATAGTAGGTTAGGACTTCTCGAATTGCATTTTGGATTTCTTCAAGACAGGAGTTCTCCCTAAGATGTTTGCGTCCTCTTTCATTTCGTTGGTTCCGAAGAACTCCAATCCGCAACAATTTGAAGATTTCAGGCCAATTTCTCTTATTAGTTGTATCTCCAAACTTTCATCCCGGGTCGGCAAATTTACGATGGGGTTCTGCTGGCCAATGAAATAGCAGATTATGCTAAGAGATTTAAAAAGGAATGTCTGTTTTTCAAAGTCGACTTCGCTAAAGCCTACGACTGTGTCGACTGGATTTACCTAGATGAAATTATCGGACTACGGAAAAGCTCCAGTTAAAAGAAAAAACAATTTTACTCTATCTAATGATATGGACAACAAAACTAAATTGATTATTCATGAGTATATTATTGTTAGTATTGGCAAAACATTTTAAAATTGAATAATTATTTTGGTTAGAATAATTAATAATCATATCAATATATTTATATAATTAATCACCATGATTATTTTATACTATGGATTTAATGGTATAAATAAAATAACATCTTATTTTTTACTTTTTTGTCTAGCAAAAATCATATTATTAAAATCATCAAATATTGTGAATAATCGAAAAGATTATTTTAAAATATTAATTAGGTTGTTTAATTTAAAAAACGTATTATTCTACTGACACATAACAAAATATCAATGAATATCTTTAGATCCAACCATCACTTGGAATTGTACACATTAGAGATGTGGAAATTTAGGGAAAAGGTACGAACACAACACATCTTTGCACTTGATTGTGATTGCTTCTAATTCGGCGACCTAATTAATTCATGAGAGGACTGACCTGCAATGCTAGAGACAATGAATAATCATGGTCTCAAACACTAGCTAAACAATATTTATAAATTTCAACTTAACCATAAAATAAGAAGCGAAAAAATTAAAACAATTATACAGGAATCTAACCAAAACCATAATATAATTAAATTATAAGAAAAACTTAAAATTTAAAATATTATTATCATATAAAAACTTATAACACTATATTCTTCACTATTGAGACCAATCAGCTCTTTTTACCCATGTTTTCTTATCCCAACTATGATAAAAACCGTCTGATCTTACTGACCAAAAAACAAAATTTTGATTTTGATCATATCCAACATCTCGTGCATTGAACGTACAATGTAAATTGTTCCATACAGCCAAACATGCATGATTAGAGGAAAAGTTAACATTGATGAAAGATGTAGATCCTGAAGTTCCCACAAAGGATCCTGCTAAGCCACAATTATAATGCACTGATGATGATTCAGGCACTTCAGTTTGTATAGAAACAATACTTTCTGTTTCGTCTAAAGCTGAAGTATAATGGAGACAAAATAAAAATACAACAAAGAGTATAGCATGCCATGAGTTAGCCATTTTCAAAATTCAGAGTGATTAAAATTCTAGAGTTAGACTCAATATATAGCTCCCCTCGTATTAATCAATAATTTTTTCATGATGTTATATAAAATACATTCAATCTCCTCTTAATTATCACGTAATTGGAATATATATAACATAAAATTTTGCATTATTTTTGTTAAGAATATATTGCATATTTTACTATAAAACAAAATTATCAATTATTATACATTAATGTTGTAATATATATATATATATATATATATATATATATATATATATATATATATATATATATATATATATATATATATATATATATATATATATATATATATATATATATATATATATATATATATTAGATTTTAATTTTATTCATAATAAAAAAAAAATATGATTGTGTAGGCCCAAAGGAGAAAACATATATTTTAAATTAACTCTATTTTTCAAAGCAAATCTATAATAATAAATATAAAATTTTTAAAATAAGGTTACTCTATTCTACAATAAAACAGATTTAGATTCTATTATTACTAAATGTGCGATTGAGAAAAAATTAAAAATAAGAGATGAGAGGAATAAACAATAATTATTAGACCAATTAAAAACTTTTGATTAACCTTATTTATTAATGTATCTATTAATTTCTCTCTCTTATTAAAATACAATCTATCTTTCTTAATAATAATTTAATTTAATAGTTGTTGTTTGTTTCTCACATCTCTCATTTAAAATCACTCTCATTTAATATATTGATTGTTATTTTTTTAAAATCACAATAAGTATTAATTTTTATTTTTCAATTAATTTTGAAATTAAGCGAATATAATCACTTTTATTTTTTCAATACACATTCTAATTATTTTTTTTCCATCTTTAGTATAATGGATTCAAACAACTTAATTTTTATCTATACATTCTTTGAAAATTTTTATTTTAGAAAATTTATCACAGCAATTAATCATTTCAAATTTCATTTCATATATGTTTTTAGAATTGCAATTAAGTGAATCAAATCACTTTTATTAATATACATTTTAATGATTTTTTTAATTTTAGAAAAATTATCACCAATCAATTATTTAAAATTTCATTACATATGTTTTTTAGAAATTATAATTAAGTGAATTAAATCACTTTTACTAAACCAAATAATAATTCTAAAGACACAAATCTGACGAGTCATTTTTATTTGTCTTATTGTCTTTTTTTTTAAATAAAAAACTAAATGCTAATATTAAAATTAAATTATGTTTTTTTTAAAGAAAAATTAATAATTTATAAATATCAAAAGAGAAATATCAGTAACTACTACAACCATTATCATAACATAAAATTTTGAATTATTTTTGTTAAGAATATATTGCATATTTTTACTATAAAATAAAATTATTAATTATTATACATTGATATATATATATATATATATATATATATATATATATATATATATATATATATATATATATATATATATATATAACATGATAAAACCACCTTTATAAATTTATTATATTCTAAGTAATAGAGTTCTCTCAAGCAAACATAAAAAATGAAAGTATTTAAAACGTCTATCACAAAAATATATTAGCTTTTAATTTTATTGATCATCAGAAAAAAAAAATGATTGTGTAGGCCCAAAGGAGAAAACATATTATATTCCTCAAATTATTTTTTCCAAAATTATAAGCTCTCTTTTAAGAATAAAAAACTAAGTTAATTTTAAAAAAGAAAACAATATCCAACTATAATAACAAATATACAACTCATATATTTTAAATTAACTCTATTTTTCAAATCAAATTTATAATAATAAATATAAATTTTCAAAATAAAGTTACTCTATTCTACAATAAAACAGATTTAGATTCTACTATAAAATGTGTCATTAAGAGAGATTTTAAAGTGAGAGATATAAGAAATAAACAATAATTATTAGATCAGTCAAAAAGATATAATTAAACTTATTTATTAATTTAGTTATTAATTTCTCTTTCTTATTAAGATGTATTATATCTTTCTTATTAATAATTTAATTTAACTGTTCTTGTTTGTTTCTCCCATCTGTTATTTAAAATCACTCTTTAATATATTGATTCTAATTGTTTTTAGAATCACAATAAGTATTAATTTTTATTTTTCAATATAATTTTGAAATTAAGCAAATATAATCACTTTTATTTCTTCAATACACATTCTAGTTAATTTTTTTTATTTTATAAAATTTATTAAAACAATCAATTATTTCAACTTTCATTACTTAATTTTTAATAGTAATTTTAATTAATTCAATTAAATGACTTTTACTAAACATATTAATAATTCTAGAGACACGTACAAATCTGACCCATCATTTTTATTTTTCTTCTAATTAATTCTAATTTTTGTTTTTATATTTATAATAAAAAACAAAATGTTAGTATTGAGTAAAATAAAATAAAATTAATTTTTTAAAATTATTAATTTATAAATATCAATGATAAATATATCTACTACAACCTTTCTCGTAAGTTGTATTTTAAATTATTTATTATAAGGATATATTGCATATTTTCACTATAAAATAATTTTTTATTTATTAATATACATTTTAATAATTTTTTTTTATTTCAAAAAAAGTATCACCAATCAATTATTTAAAATTTCATTACATATTTTTTATAGAAATTATAATTAAGTGAATTAAATCACTTTTACTAAACAAAATAGTAATTCTAAAGACACAAATCTGACAAGTCATTTTTATTTGTCTTACTGTTTTTTTTTAAATAAAAAACTAAATGCTGGTATAAAATTAAATTAAGTTTTTTTAAAAAACAAATTATTAATTTATAAATATCGAAAGAGAAATATCTGTAACTACTACAACCATTATCATAACATAAAATTTTGCATTATTTTTGTTAGAATATATTGCATATTCTTACCATAAAATAAAATTATTTATTATTATACATTAATGTTGTAATATATATATATATATATATATATATATATATATATATATATATATATATATATATATATATATATATATATATATATATATATATATATATATATATATATATATATATATATATATATATATATATATATATATATATATATATATATATTCAGCTGCATAAATTTATTATATTCTAAATAATAGAGTTCTCTCAACAAACATAGAAAATGAAAGTATTAAAATCGTCTATCACAAAAATATATTAGCTTTTAATT